CCATGGATTCATGTATTTCTAGGCTGATGATTCTCAAATCTACTTATCCAGTCCTAACCTTATTGTGTATTTCCATGATGTTAAATGCATCATGTCCAAAACTGATTTTAAATCCTCCCCACTTCCTAACTTTCCTGTTACTATGGAAGGTGCCACCATCCTCCTAGTCCCTGGGCTCACAACCTAGGTGCCATCTTTGACTCTTCACTCTTTCATACTCTCATATCCAATCTCTTGCCAGGTCCTATTGATTTTACCTTTGCGTCATCTCTTCTATATGACCCTTTCTGTCTTCTGACACTTGGTATACGCCTTCATCACCTCAAGCCTGAACCAGTGCAGTAACTGGTTGGTCTCCCTACCACACATTTTCCCCACTTCAGTCCATCTTCCTCTCAGCTGCCCAACTGGTCTTCCTAATGTGCAGGTATAACCACATCACCCCACTTCCCTCTTCTCAATAATTACAGTGGCTCCCTATCACCTCCAGGATCAAATCTAAAATCCTCTATTTAGTATTCAAAACCCTTCATACCCTAAACCCTTCTCACCTTTGCAGTCTTCATGAATCTTACATCCCCCAACACACTCCAAATACAGTTCATATCCCATGGGGTTCAGAGGTACCTTTTTGTGTAGCATTTTGCCTGGTCCATTTGCTATTTGCCTTTAATTCATAGAGACTTTGGATTACAGAGCAACCTGTAAACTCGTTTATAAGTGTTCAGTGAAAGAACCTATCATAGTCTCCTGCAATCAGAGTCCAACATTTATGCACAACCGTAATATGTGATCTTTAAGTGGCGCTGAAATTACCCTCATTTCCACCAGCAGAATTTTAATTTTGTTCTTTTTCCTTCCATTAGAAGTCACCTTGCTCCCACATTGTCTCTGTGAAAGAATGTTAACATAAAAATTGAAATTGTTTCCATCCTGCTTCACCCTCAAAATCTGATTGTTTAGTATAAATTTTCTCCCTTGCTTGCAAGTTCAGAATATATACAGAAGTGACATCTCTCTCCCTCACTGCTGTTTTCTCAAGCATAATTATTTGTTCCTTCTCTCCTCTCTGAAGCAGTTTGTAGGGTTTTTTGCACTACCTTTCAACAACGTGAGTAGTGCCGGCTGATGTAGCACAAATAGCTAATATCTTTTTAAAAATTCTCTATATTAACCATGCTTCTGGGAGGCTAGGCTATTCAGATCAGGCAACCATAACTAAGGTACCACTATTCTTAAGGTAGCAGGGCAGCCAGGGGATGAAGTAGATAGAGCGTGGAGCCTGGAGTCAGAAAGACCTGAGCTTAAAGACAGTGGCCCTGGGCAAGTCACTTAACCCTGTTTGCCCCAGTTTGCCTCAGTTTCCTCATCTGTAAAATAAACTGGAGAAGGAAATGGCAAACCACTCCAGTGTCTTTGCCAAGAAAACCCCAAATAGGATCACAAAGAGTGGGATACAACTCAGAAACAACTGAACCTTCTTCTGGTAGTGGGATGTCCTAATTGGAGCCCGAGGATTTTCCAGATAACTACTTGGAAGCTCACCTTGCAAACCCAAACTTATAAAGAGATTGTAAATATTATAGTTGCTGTGGCTTTGGAGTTATTTTATTATCTTTTAGTTTTAAGAGAAAAATTACTGTCTACAAAAGGATTTGGAGTTGCTATATTATTTTAAATTAAAGTATGTGTGGAGGGAGTGGGAATTGGATATTTCATTTAGCTTACTGCTGAACAAACTCCTCTAAGAAGTTTTATAGAGGTCATAAAAGATTTCGGGGATTGGGGTTAAATTTGTGTTTTTTAAAATAGGTATGTTTCAGTATAACTGGTTTTTGTAATCCTATATATCTTATTTTACACATTCAAAATCAGTATACTGAGAAGGGGTCCATGGACCTTACCAGACTGCCAAAGAGTCCATGACACATAAATGAAAAATGCTGACCTCCTCCGTTTCTGACAAGGCCAACCCAAATCTTTTCCTGCTCTAATTGTACTTAGGTGGCTCAATGGATAGAGCGCTGGGCCTGGAGTCAGGAAGACCTGAGTTCAAATCTGGCCTCAAGAAACTTGCTAGCTGTGTGACCACGAACAAGTCACTTAACCTCTGTTTGCCTTAATCCACTGGAGAAGGAAATGGCAAACCACTCCACTATTTTTTGCCAAGAAGACGCCATGCACAGTACTGGCGTCCTGCGGTCCATGAATTCACCTACAGTAGGACATGACTGAACAAATAAGCAATAGCAGCTAATTGTACTTCTGTGACTCAGAGTGACAGTAACGTTCAAGATTCTAATTTGCAAATACCTGTTTGGGAGTCTCTTGCCTGTTGAGTCAAGTGCTACCCAAGCAGGCACTGTTGATGTACATAAATCTGATGTCCCCAACTAGACTTTAATGGCCTTCAGAACTGTGTCTTGTACTTCTCTTTGTTTCTCTACCTTGCCTAACAACATGGCACTCACCAGGCACACAGTAGACAGTAAATATTTGCAGTCTGTTTCATCTTTGAAAATACGGGATTACAGAAAACCTAGGGTTATAAATCCAGAGCTCGAAGGGACATTTGAGATCCTTGAGTCTAACCCCCTTATTTTACAGGTAAGGAAACTGAGGGCCCAGAGACACTAAGTAACTTGATCAAGGTCCCATAATATGTGGCATGGCTAGGATTTGAACCCAGGCTGTATGATTAAAAATTCAGTGGTTTCTCCACTTCACCACACAGAGTAACCAAAGAGTTGAGTCGAGCAGGAAAAAGTTGGAGAGTCACAAGTGCTTCTGATGCCTGCTTAATAGAATAGAGCAGGAGTTCATAGCAGTAGGAAAACTAGTTCCAACTCATTATAGTTTAAAGGAGTAGGCCCCTAATGCTCTAGTGTTGTAGTATTTTTGCAAAACTAGACTCTGAAATCTTAATATAATTTGACTAAAGGACTCATTCAGTTTACTGATTGCTTGTTGTCTGCATAGCACTGAGCTGGGTTTTAAGGATGAAGATGGGAGGGGGTGGAGAGAAGGTAATAATCGTTGAAGAAATAATATCAGAATCTCCCAAATCAATTAGAACAATTACAGGGGAGATCTTTGACTGGTTATGGAGTTCTTATACCTATAAAAACTCTCAATTAATAAAGAAGATGGAGAGGGAGTGTATCTTATCAAGAGAATTCTGAGTAGTTATTTATAGCTACACATCTCTCATTAAGGTTGCAAATCAAGAGCAAAGTGTTGATCTAAGAGAGAAGAAAAAAAAAATTCCCAGATATATGTGTGGCGTTAAATTGTGACAAATCAGTAACATAAGCCTCAAGGAATGCAGAATGAGAGAAAGAAGTTGCACCTTGCAGAGATAGAATTTCTATCTGTAATATTTCTAGAACATTCTAGTGTATTATAGTCAGTTGGCCCAGAGACAATCAGTCTTGATTCTCTAGCTTGTGACATTGTGAGTTAGTGGCCTAGTTGATTCAGCTAAATCTTTAAGGCCTTTTGATTCTACTTTATCTACAAGTTGGAGACTTCACTCTTCTGCATCTACAGCCAAGCTAGAATCGAGAGATTATAGGCTATAAAGCAAATACATAAGGAAGGAGGAAAAGGAACAAGAGATTGTGACTTGGCATTCCAAGACCTTTTTAGTTTTTGCAAGTGGAGTTTTTGCAGTAGCATGATTCGAATGTATTTGTGCTGTGCTAATATAAGAGAGGTAATTGGTAGCCTTGGGACTTAAGGGATGGAGAGGGGATGGAGGATAGGGCTAAGGGCCCAGAATACCATAAGTCCAAAGGTCTTTAGCAGGAGCTAAGAGGAGCGCCATGAAAGGTGTTGGTTCTCTCTCATTACCCTTCACCAAATTGACAGCATCAGTTTTCATCATAAGGAAGTTTTTTTGTCTTGTTTTGTTTGTTCAAGAGAAATGGTAGTGCGGTGAATTCACAAACAGGAATGGAATGCAACAAACAAAAAAAGCCTAAGTATCATCTATTAATTTCTTAAGTTCTCTAAATCTGAAGATTGCCACTATGAATATGGAGGGAGAGACTAAAGGAAAGAGTGAGTTTAGGAAAAAGAGTCTGAAAATCATGAATTAATAGAGTAGAATTAGGACTTAAATCCAGGGTTCACATTATCTTAATTCTAGTGACTTCCTTGGGGCGGTTAGGTGGGCAGTGGATAGAGCTCTGGGCCTGGAGTCAGAACGACTCATCTTCCTGAGTTCAAATGTGGCCTCAGATACTTACTGTCTGTGTGACCCTGGGCAAGTCACTTAACCCTGTTTGCCTTAGTTTCCTCATCTGTAAAATGGCAAACCACTCCATTATCTTTGGCTGGAAAATCCCAAATGGGGTCAGGAAGAATCAGACACAGCTGAAATGATCGAACAGCAATAATGACTTCCTTTGATGGACTGGAGAAGAACTCATCTCAAAAAGGTCATCCGACCTGGAATGGAAAAAGAGAGAACCAGTACCTATCTTTAAATCAATAGTTCAAAAAAAAAAAAGTCAACTTTGGATAAACCTATAATAATAAAAAATATATAAACATATAATAAATAAAGAAGGATGAAAGTAGTCCTCCCTATTTTCAGTCATCAGAATTCTGCCCCTTCCTGTTTCACCTCACCCCCTACTAAACTGTACTTGAAAGTCTAAGACTTCTCATGCTTATCCTCTTGGGGATTCCTCTCATTGTTGAATTTCTAGGACCACACTGTTGGATTTCTAAGTAGTAACAGATATTAGCTGTAGGTCACACATTTGCTTTGTTGTTAAATACTTGCTGGTGCTTTTGTTCTTATTAGAGCCTTCAGTGGTGTGTGGGTGCGTGTTCTTGGAATTTGGTTGTGATATATAAGGAGTTGGGGGTGGGTTTTTTTGTTTGTTTTAAGGTTTAGACCTTTATCTCATTTGTGAGCTTTGGTAGACGTGGGAGTATATTTTCTGTAACATTAACATGTAATCATGCCTCTGTTTTCTTTTCGTACATAGATTCTTCAGAAACCAACACCAGAGCTAAAGCATCAGTTGGCCACTTTCTCTAAGCGAGTGGCAGGTGCTGTGACTGAGCTTATCCAGGCAGCGGAAGCCATGAAAGGTGGGTTTGATTCTCTCTCTTTATCCCACCCAAGGTTGACAACACTCATTCTCATCATTAAGAGGGTTTGTTTGGGGTTTTGTTTTGGTCATTTGCTAGGCTTAAAGAAAATCCACTTCAAACCTTTCCCGAATGTCCTTTATGAAAGAGAATCTCTCACACTTGTAGAAATTAAGATTAGAGAAACTCAAGAAATAACAAGGTTAGGATATGTCTTTTAGGACAAGCCTTCTCCCCCCTCTCTATACTGCATGTACCTTTTTATAAAGAAGAGTCAATTTAAAACCCCTTTCCCTGTGATTGATTCTGTCATTTATTTTATATATGTTTTCATCCAAAGTCTAGGAATAAGAATAGGCAATGGACCTGTGAATTCATTGGTGTGGGAAACTACCAGATGAGGAAATCCCTTCTACTATTGCAGGCTGGCCACTTTGCAATTTGTGGTCATAGAGAGTTGCCTAAAGGGAGGGAAGGTAAAAATAAGCATTTATTAAACACCTGCTATATGCCATGCACCATGTTAAGTGCTTTACAATTATTATCTCATTTGATCCTCACAACAACCCTGGGGGGTAGGTGCTATTTTTCCTATTTATCCCCATTATGCTCATTTTACATTTGAGGAAGCTGAGGCAAAGTGACTTGCCCAGAGTCACATAGCTAGAAAGATTCTGAGGCCAGATTTGAACTCTGGTCATCTTGACTCTGGGGCCCTACAGCTAATGTGTGTCAGAGGCACGATTTGAATCCAGGTCTTCCTGGCTTCTAGGCCAGCTTTCTAGCCACTATGCCATATTGTCCTCAAAGACCTGAATTAGCAAAAATATGCCAGCCAATTTAATTTGGAGTACTGCTTTTCTAGCAAACTTCTCTGCACTTGACAACTTTCAGTCTAACTTTATATGTTGTAGATCAGGGTTTCATCCCAGGCACTATTTAGGAAAATGAATTCCTGGGGCTTATCCATCATTTCAGGCCAACTTCATTCCAGTATTGAGATATCTGGACTTCCTTAGAACTCTCAGTTGAAGGTGGTAGCAGGATCCCACAAAAAGACAGTCTTGTTCTTTTTGTGAGCTTGTTTGCCATCGTTCTTACTGATGACTGCTCCTAGAAAATCTTTGTACAAGAAGTGATATCAAAAGCAGAGGTTTACCCAAGATACCTGTGTAATTAAGTGCTCTCTCTTTGAAACCAGAGGCATTAAATGAGATGAGAAGAAACTAAATCTAGTTCCAGGAGACCATCAGAGTTCTACCATGTCTCACCCTCTAGTCTTTGCAGATGTTTGTGTTGAGTCTCAGCAGGAGGCCAAGAACTATGACGACCAAGAATGATGATGTTTTGGACTCATTTCAGGGACAGAGTGGGTAGATCCGGAAGACCCAACAGTCATTGCCGAAACCGAATTACTGGGGGCTGCAGCATCAATTGAGGCTGCGGCCAAGAAGTTAGAACAACTGAAGCCGAGAGCTAAACCAAAAGTGAGTGTCTATCCACTGTTACTTTTTGTGACATCAACAGGGTGACTTCATGATTCCAGAAATGGGGAGGTGGGAGAGGGACAGGGAGGGCAGGTACGCTACTGGAGACATCCAGCTTGTCCACTTCCATGTCATCGAGACTGTGAATCTATCAATAACCTTTTCATAGTATAGAATTCCTTCAATCTCATACATAGAAATATTTGTAAAATGCTTTCTTGGGACTAGTGAAATATCAGAAGATACCAGCTTTATTATGAATTCAATGATTTTCATGACTTTTTCACAGAAGCAAAGTAGAACCTTGATTACATCGCTATGGAAGGAAGCTAAACAGTGCTGGGTCTATCTTTCAAGTTTAATCCAGAGGGTCCCTGTCTTCAATGAGTCCTTTGTAAATGTCTTCTTCCACAAAGGAGAATTAAGAAACTGGAATTTAAAGCTTTTCCTTCTGTTTTTGCTTATTGATAGACATTAGAATTTAAGGTCACATATGTCTGAGTGTGAGAGAGATGGGAAAGGGAGAGGGAAAAGAGATAGAAAACCTCGTTCACAGAGCGAACTAACTACTTGTGTTCAAAAAGGACTATAGAGAGAAGGAAGATCTGAAATTGAAAAGCTATATACAAATATAGGTTAGGGGTCTCCAAGTGACTAATTGGCTTCACTTGTTCCATCATAAATTAATAATCGCTGCCTCCCCACCCACCATGGACAGGTCCAGGAAAGAACATATTACTGGTTAATATCACCCTCCATGTTCTTTATTAGGATCCTCACTCTCAGCACCTGTTAGCTTCCTCAACCATGAGACTTCCAAAAATAATAAATAGCTTCTCTGCACAGAAGGGTTGGGGACTCAACCCTGAATAGTTCAGAACAGGCTCTCCACTCTCCACTCTCCGCTGTCTGTCCCCTCTTTCATGGAAGGTATGAATGCAAAATACTACATCAGACTCCTCAAGGAATAGGTTACTGACCAAAGTAATATATAAACATCTGTCACCATTTAATGAATTTTTTAAGATTGGGGACATTTCCCAAAGCAGTCAAGTTTTTCACAGTTCTCTTCTAAACCAAACAGATGTCTTCCTGACCTAAGAAAAACCTTCAAAAAAATAACAATAAATACTTTAAGATGACTTAGTAGTTTAGGATTTTAGTTTCTTCAGTTTGTCATGAAATCGTATTTCCCCCAAGTGGTCTCCGTCCTAAAGAGATGATTGTGAGATGCCTGGGGAAAGTTATCGTTTTTCTTTCAAACTCAAACAGCAAAGTATAAGAAAAAAGTCTTCTTTTCTTTGTTTTCTGGTTTGTTGAAAATTATCAGTTTCTTATAAAGCCACCAGCTCTGTTCTTTCTGCTTTTTTTTTTCCTTTTAAAAAGTTGTCCTTAGTTCTTTTCTGGTTCTGAATTTCAGTTGTTTTTTTTTTTTCCCCATCTAATTGATATTCACCTGACATGTCATTTCACTTGATTTAGGGAGGATGAGATCCATGGATTTGAATACAATGGCATTTGAGCTCCTCATAGTGGCAATGAGAACAGAGTTCTAGCCAATTGAAATTCATCTTGACAGGGGTAGGACAACCTCCACAAAGCAGGCCAGGTAATTGAACGTGATACCAGGCCACCAGGAAAGTTTCTAGAGACTGTTGCTTTATCAGACTGCTTTATCCTATATAGAAAATTGCCATAAATCCATATCCTGAAGGAAATGTCTGTTTGGCCTCTGGAGCAGTCTAGTTGACTAATAAATGTCTGAAAAAAAACAGCAATCCTGTGTGAATACAGACACAGTTGTATTCTACTGCTCCCCTCATACTCCAGTTGTATTTTAAAATTTTTGCTGTATTTAGTAGTGGTAATGGGCCAAACGCTATAGTTCCTTAGAGGCATAATGTCTTAGACTCATTTCAGAAACAGAAGAAGCAGATGTAGAAGATCTGAGTTGTTAAAAACACCAAATTATGGTAGGAGGGGATGTTCCTACTTCCTATCCCCAAAAAACTGTTATAAGTTACTTCATAGGTCTCCTGGGAAATTCCAATTTAATCTATGAGGCAGTCCAAGTGATCATTGTTTAGAAAATTTAGTACCTTTGGGTACTAAATTAAGAAAACTTCTCAAGATTGTAGTTCAGGCCTCTACCCATTATTTTCTTTGCAGATGTTGCTACAGATGTCACATTTAATGTAATGGTTTCCATACCAAAGCAACAAAATTTATTTAACTAGAGTGAAAGTCATAATTTAAGTGGTTGATGTGAGTCTTTACCCACATGCTACGTATTTGAGGTCAGGTCCCCCAGTAAAAAGAGTATGTTGTTACTCAGGGCTAGCTGTATTTTCAGTGATCCAAAACCAGTCTCTGCTCTCCAAATAGATGATGGGAAACTTTTGATTCAAAGCCTGTCACATGTCTTATGTTATCTACCTAATCATTTTTGAGAAACTACTTACCCAAACCATAATATCCTAATCTGTCTTAGAGAACCATCTGCTTTCTTTGCTTTACACTAAAGTCTATATAAAATAAAATACATTCACCTGGAGAGATTTCTCAAGTAGAAAAAAATAAATAAATGTCCAAAAACTTTTAAGTTTTTCATTTTTGTACTCCTTTTTCTACCTCCTTGTTTCCCCTTTCTCAACTCCACTCATCATCTCTCTCTAACCTCCCCCTTTTTTTAGTTTAAACTTTTTTTCAGAAATATTTTAATAATCAGTTTTTTTAAAGTTTCAACCTTTAAGAAAACAAATATTCACACACAGTGTAAGATTAATATTCATTTTCACTGTTTATGGGAAAATGTGTTTGGTCTACCATGATGGGCCCTGAACATCTGATGGGTGTTAGTTATTGTCATGCATACAGTTGGACATGTCCTTTGATTATATGAACCACCTTTGGGAAGGTGATGTTGTTGGTGAAATTACTCTGCTTGCCATATGCTCAAAATGCCTATTTTTAGGGTGTAATGGTCCTTAACTTATGAAGATGTTGCCTGGTACACTCCCATCTCAGATTCTTAAAATTTAAACATCTCTTTTTGCATTAGATCTTCAGAAGAAGAACCAAAATAAAAAAAATCCATTTTGCTGAATTAACTTTTTAATTGGAAATGTGGTATGATGATGGAATAAAAAATGTTAGAGAGCTTATGCATGTACATATTGCTAATAGTGCTATTTCCACACTCACTGATAGGCTTATGCCTCCAAAGACAGGTAAAGAAGTTGCGTCTCTAGTAGCTGATGACCATTCCCTGCTGTCATAGTCTTCAGTTCTGTGTCCATTTTCAAGCTCAATCAAACCTGGATGCCATTTCTGCAGGCCTCTGTGTGATATGTTTGATATATTAGGTTGTTATTTAATCCAACTATATATCAAACATATTCCTACAGTGTCCTGCCCTGTCTCCGGGGGTTCATAATATAGTACATAAGGCAACAGGGAGGAGTATTTTAAGGTCACAAGGATATTTAGAAGACTTCAGATTCTCATTCTTATATCATGTTGGAGAAATATGGAATATTCCATTCATTTGGGTTGTGTTTGGGAACTGTATCAGTGTTACAAGATTTTTTATTATAGATACAAATCACACAATTATTAGAGTTTCCTCCGGTATTTAGGGTTCAAGGGATTATATTTCATAGATCCATACGCTAGCAAATTATCAGGGTTGTATCCACAGTGACAAAAAAGATACTGAAAGTAACCCAGCTAGCACCTTCTTGTTTCAGGTGATAAAGATCAGTATTATTGACACCAAACACAAGTGATACATTTTTTTCTTTTTTCCATTTCAATTCATTCCTTTTCCAGTCCTCAGATTAATCTCCAGAGTTATTACTGTCTCAAAATTTCAACCAGAATATAAGGGGACAAAAACTCAACCAAAAACACCTAATTGCTTTTAACATCAGATAGCAAAAATAAAATATCCAGTCGCCCTATCATTTGTTGTAGCTTTACAAGGACAGTTTGATGGGAATCTTCGTAGTGTCTTAGAAGCTCAGATTTGTAAAGGACCACAGAGGTCATCTAGAACAACCTGAAAAAGGGTTAAGCTTTAGTAAGTTTAATAAAAATAATGCAACATTAATAATGGTTCATCCAGTGAGTTTCCTGGACTGGTATAGCTTACCATTAGTAACCCTGTTACTAAGCAGAGGCTGACAGACAGCCTAATCTGTTATAATAGAAAGTTTGGGATTCATATTTTTTAGGAATTTTCTTTCCCTTGTACACAGGAGCGTCCTTGAAATAACTTTGGTCCTTTTCCTTTCAGAGAAGAAAGCAAAGTCTCATTTGTTCTTCAGAGTTAGCTTCAGAATTTATTACTGCTATATTATGTATAAAGGGATCAGGTTTGCCGATGACAAAACAAAATGGAGAGAGAAATGATTTTTAAAAAGAAAATTCCTAAAGAATTGTATACATTTGAATAGTAAAAGTGGGATAGTCAGCATTAGCATATATTTAGGGACTTGGCATAAGATAGACATATTCTCTTAACGTTCTTCAACATCTGAAATTATTTGGTCTCAATGTTATAAAATGTGATCTCTACTGGGCCTCTTGGTAGTATGTATTCTTGGCTCTTCCTGCTTCCTGGCATAGAGGATGGCTTTTCTAGACTCCTTGAGTCCCATTGAGACAATAATAAGTATCTTATTTCTTTAATTTTTTTTAAAGAAAATTTTAAAACTTGTCTAAGGTGCTATGTTGTCAAAACTTAAGGCCATCTTCATTTCATCAGTAAACAGCTTCCTAGAGTTTTTGTCACTTGGCTACAGTCATTTGGCCAAAGTAACTGTCTTGCTATGAAGTTCTTTGAGCAAGTGGTTATCTAAAATCAAGGCAGTGAATTATACTGGTGAGCTATTTTTTTTATTTAAAATTAACAAATCAGGTTGAGAGGACGCTGAGGAAGACCTTTTATTTGAAATAAATTACCTTTCTTTTGTATCCTTAATGCTTCTAAGGTGAAT